CCTGCGGTGCTCCCTCCGTTCTGCACCCACCTCCTGCTGCTCCCCAGCGCCTGCTGGCCCCACCCCGGGCCTGCCTCGGTGCACCCAGGCGCTGGCTGTGCTGCGGACACAAAATGGCCTTCTCCTGCCTGTGGTCTGCTTGCCAGGGATGCCTGCTCCTCCTCATCTCAGGCAGCCCTCGCCCTCCTGCCTGTGTCCTCCTCCGACGTCCCCACTCCCCAGCCTGTGCCTGGTCCTCAGCAGTGACAGAGTCCCCAGGCGAGCGCCTGCCCATGGGGCACTGTCCACGAGGCACCGTCCAGGGGTCATGGTCCGCGGGGCCCGCTGAGGCGGAGTGGCAGGCAGATGGCCGCGTCACTCAGGAGAGCCAGGGGCAGCCCGGAGGCCTCCTGACACTCAGGCCGCCACCGTCTCCAGAGCGATGTCTCTGGCTCCCAAACCTCGACTGGATCCTTCTGTTAAAGCCCCATGTGTGGATTAAGATGTCCAAAGCCCGGGGGCCCCCTCCAGACAATGGGGCTGGTAACAGCTGGAGGGGCAGGGTGGGGCGTGGGATTAGCACCTCCTCAGGGAAGGCCTAGACCAAGGCTGGAGGCCCGCCCCTTCTCGCAGCCCCGGTGCTGTCGGGTCCCCTCGGCAGCCCTGGCTGTCTCTGCATCTGGCCCCGTTTCCACCCCCAGGCCAGGTTGTGGGATGGGTGACCCCCCAGGCCACTCCTGCACCCACTCTGTCCAAGGACCCGGCCCCGGCCCCAGCCACCTGCCGGCCCTACCTAAGGAAGGAAAAGGTCCGAGGGAGGCGGGGCCCCTCCTCGTATCCCCCCAACCGCCCTCCAAACCTCTGCGCCCTTTAAAGCCGGAGCCGACCTCATCATCAAGGTAGGACAGTGCCTGGCCCGAAGCCCCTCAGGGTGGGCAGGGCCACATGCCTGTCCCTCCTATTGGCCGCTCAGCACCTCGGAGAGAAGCCACCTGCCTGGCCTCCCCAGGGCCCCAGCCCCCTCCCACCTGCCCTCC